ATAACAGGTATTTCATGGAATTAAATTGTTGAGAGAATTTATTAATTTTAGGGATTTGAAACCGGAAAATTTGTTATATTATGATCAAACGGAAGATTCTAAGATAATGATTTCTGATTTTGGTCTTTCAAAAATTGAAGAATCGGGTGTTATGGCTACAGCATGTGGTACACCAGGTTATGTTGCACCTGAAGTTTGTTTTGAGTTATTTCATTCAGGCATTATATAGTAGATTATTGTATTGTTATCCGAAAATATTTCGTTTCATCAATGATTAGATGCGAGAAGAATTAAGAAATTCTTCAAATTTCCAATTTTTCGCTCTTTTTTTCAAATATTTACTGGTTTAAATTACTAATGTTAAATTTTTAAATTAATGGTAAAGTGAAAAATTCTCATAACTTGTTTTAATAATTAGTTTCAAGTTTGTTTGCAAAAAAAACCTAATAAACTGGGAGGAAATCAATATAAAAAGGCTTTGCTATATAACTTATTAAAAAATTATCGTAAAATTTAATTCCAAAAGTTTTCATCATTGTTGATGAAAAAAAAAGTTTCCAAATAACAATCGATAATGAAAATAGCAAGTAGATTTGAATGGATTAATTTAATGGTTAGCTTTATATATGAACAAAAGCACTTTATGGAATTGCTTCCCGGATAATCTTAATGGTCTGAGATGTTAAATGTAATATTTGAATAATTGAAAAATGAAACACTCTCGAAATAATACAATGTAAATAATCGATAAAAATAACAATGCAATAGAATTTTAGGAATGATTCATTCATTGTTTTCAATTTTCGCAATCAGAATAAGTTCTGATGAATGATAGACGTAAAAGGGTAGCAAAAATAGCTTGTCATTAGCAATTTTTTGAATAACTTCAAGAAAATCAGTTTTCATTCATATTGGTTAAATTTATAATTACAATAAACTGATCAAAGTTGTAATACAAACTGTTTAGAACTTTAGAAAGAATGAATTTTAGTGTTCCCCTTTTTTCTTTCCTTAAAACTTCATAATATTATTGATCTTATTTATTAAAAACAGAAAAAAAGAACAATACTTCTCTCCTTTTTGAATATTTATGGTAATAATTTAAAAGTTTCGCATTTTTTAATAAAACAAATTTAGTAGTCTTTAAAAAAAAAAATTGAATATCTAAAGTAATAATTTAACAGTTGTATGAAATAAAACAAATTTAGTAGTTCAAAGGAAAAAGAAACTTATCAATTATTTACTAAAAGGAAACAATTTAGCAGACTATTAATTAATTTAAAATAATAGGTATTGCAACAGAAACCATACGGTAAAGCTGTTGATATTTGGTCCATTGGTGTTATAACATATATTCTTCTATGCGGTTATCCACCATTTTATGATGAAAATGATGCGAATTTATTTGGTCAAATAATTCGAGGTGAATATGAATTTGATTCACCATATTGGGATGAAATTTCTGAATCAGCAAAAGATTTTATATCACATTTGATGTGTTGTGATCCGGAACAACGATATACCTGTCATCAAGCATTAGCACATCCATGGTAATCAATTTTCATTTCTTATCATATTATCTTTTTCTCTCTTTATCTAATCATTTCACAATAATGATATACTTTTTAACTTTTTCTTTTCAGATTAAACTTTATAGAAAGCGTAAAAAAGTTTTATTCGTATATTTATATTCAAATAAATATTTTTTTTCCCCCAATCTATCCTTTTATTTTCCTCTTTTCTCATTAAGCATACGTGTTAATAACCAAAAAAAAAAAATTCGCACTCACTTTTCATTTTTATTTTTAAATTAAATTCATTCATACATATATACACATTGAAATATAGGATCAGTGGTGATACAGCTGGCACAAAAGATATTCATTGTTTGGTGGCATCACATTTGAAGATAAACTTAGCGAAACGAAATTGGAAGAAAGCATTCAATGCGACAACTGTAATTCGTCAGCTTCAAATGCTTCGATTATCATCAATTTCACAAGCAGCATCCACGTCAACCAGTAAATAAGCAGTATTTTATCTATCTTTACATATATATGTATATATAATCATTTTCCAGAAATTTTTGTACAAAAAGAAGACAATATTTGAAAATGTATATAATCCTGACCAACATGCTTTTGTCTATGAATTTCACCTTTTTTTTTTTTGAATTGTAATATGTAGCCTCAAATAGCCTTTCATCCACCATCATCATCATCATCATCATCATCATCATCATCA